TTTTGTGTCAAAGCTACCTATTGATCTATTTGCATCACATTTCAAATTTGTGCATCTTTTCAACAATTTTGATATCTCCACTAACACTTGCTTAATTTTGTGCCACCCCACCCCACCTCCACCCCCTCAACAGCGTCCGCGGTAACGGGTTTGATCAGTATCGTGCGTTCGGTCGTTGTGGCTCGCTTGGTCGCTATTGTTCATTCAGGCGCTAGCTGTAGGTTTGATTTTCTTTGGGTATTTTTCTTTTGTTTTTACTTCAATTTTCTGTATTTCTAAATGATTTTCTTTAGCTTTTTGTTTTCTTTTGGTCTTTTCACCTGTTTTGTTTCTTTCTTGGTTTTTACTTGTTTTTTCCTTTTTCCTACAATTTTCTTCGGCCCCTTTGTTTCTTTTCTTTGTTTTCATTTTTTTCTTTTTTTTCTTAGGTTATATATCATTTTGGTATCATACATACTTGTCATAGCATACTTGGGAAACTAAAACGACTAGTTGTTCTTGTAGGTTGAAGGAAATATGCCCTAGAGGCAATAATAAAGTTATTATTTATTTCCTTATATCATGATAAATGTTTATTATTCATGCTAGAATTATATTAATCGGAAACATAATACATGTGTGAATACATAGACAAACAGAGTGTCACTAGTATGCCTCTACTTGACTAGCTCGTTAATCAAAGATGGTTATGTTTCCTAACCATGAACAAAGAGTTGTTATTTGATTAACGGGATCACATCATTAGGTGAATGATCCGATTGACATGACCCATTCCATTAGCTTAACACCCGATCGTTTAGTATGTTGCTATTGCTTTCTTCATGATTTATACATGTTCCTATGACTATGAGATTATGCAACTCCCGTTTGCCGGAGGAACACTTTGTGTGCTACCAAACGTCACAACGTAAATGGGTGATTATAAAGGTGCTCTACAGGTGTCTCCAAAGGTACATGTTGGGTTGGCGTATTTCGAGATTAGGATTTGTCACCGATTGTCGGAGAGGTATCTCTGGGCCCTCTCGGTAATGCACATCACATAAGCCTTGCAAGCATTGCAACTAATGAGTTAGTTGCAAGATGATGTATTACGGAACGAGTAAAGAGACTTGCCGGTAACGAGATTAAACTAGGTATTGAGATACCGACGATCGAATCTCGGGCAAGTAACATACCGATGACAAAGGGAACAACGTATGTTGTTATGCGGTCTGACCGATAAAGATCTTCGTAGAATATGTAGGAGCCAATATGAGCATCCAGGTTCCGCTATTGGTTATTGACTGGAGACGTGTCTCGGTCATGTCTACATTGTTCTCGAACCCGTAGGGTCTGCACGCTTAAGGTTTCGATGACAGTTATATTATGAGTTTATGAGTTTTGATGTACCGAAGTTAGTTCGGAGTCCCGGATGTGATCACGGACATGACGAGGAGTCTCGAAATGGTCGAGACATAAAGATTGATATATTGGACGGCTATATTCGGACACCGGAAGTGTTCCGGGTGATTTCGGAGAAAACCGGAGAGCCGGAGGGTTACCGGAATCCCCCCGGGAGGAGTAATGGGCCATATGGGCCTTAGTGGAAAGAGAGAGGGGCAGCCAAAGGTGGGCCGCGCGCCTCCTCCCCCCTGGTCCGAATTGGACTAGGAGAGGGGGGCGGCGCCCCCCTTTCCCTCTCCCTCCCCACTTCCTTCCCCCTCCTAGTAGGAGTCCTACTCCTACTAGGAGGAGGACTCCTCCTTGGCGCG